GTCTATCGCTCAAGGGCGCTGTTGTTATGGAATGCCATTTTTTATCAATAACCCCAATATTTACTCTTAAAATCTGAGACAATGTGAAAGAACTGGTGAAGGGTTTTCAGCCTCAACTGCGTCTCCAAGCCTGAAAATTACCGTTCCTTGTATTCAATATATTCACAGCAACCCTCTTCCGTGCCACTATAACGACAAGATTGACTGCAGGAGACTCGAACAAGCAGATGAGTAGGAAGGGAGGATCGACGTCGCTCTGTTGGAGATCAATGCGCGTCATTACAGTGATGGCGCGCCACGGTTTCTCGCCGTAACATAATATTTATTTATTGCCACCACGCGGCCATTAATCAAAGAGTTCAGCCTTACAGATAGAATTAGGCCACAGAGACCTTTGACATTGGTTTCCGTAACGAAAAACAACCTTATGGGACGACGCTTTTTCTCGGAATATCACGTTTGTCTGTCGGTCTGTGTGTCAACCGATTCCAAATCACACACCCACTGAATGGTTTTCGTGTGACTTAGTACGAATACTATTCCATACGAGTTCCCTTCCTCCATCTTTATAATTTTTAATTGCGTGATATGAACCAGAATAGCTTGTGAATTGTACAACCAGGGTTCGATTTCCAGCACGGATGGCAATTCTTCCCACCACTGTGTCCGATCCGCTCTGGAAACTACCCAACCGCCTATCCGAAAGGACTTACCCGGAATTCTTTCTTTTGAGATGAGCTTAACGTAAGATGGCCTTTAAATTTTTCGCAAAATTCTCCTATATTAAATTTAATTACAGTAGGGTTTTCCGTTCTCGAGTTGATTCATGATGATACGTCACATTAGCTGCACATAACTTTTTCCACCAAGGGCGAGAAGTACAAATATGTCGCATGCATGGCGAAGAACGAAGTGCGTAAACTTTGGTCGGGAAGCCTACATGGAAGAAACTACGAACAAAGGTAAACGTAGGTGGATGCATGTGCCACATATTACGGTCCAGTGGCGGGCCTTTGTGCACACGGCAATGAACCTTCTAGTTCCACAAGGCAGGTATTTCTCGACCAGCTACCTGTCCATCTGTGGGCTTCTCAAGAAAGATTCTGCTACAAAGAATTGTTTAATATAAACGGCAACCAACAAAGAGTCTAACAATAAATTTATAATTGTTCGTCAGAATCTATGTGACACTTTAACACTTACGACTTCTTCATGAACTTCTGATCTAACAAACAGAAATGATAATTACGTCACGGTCTAAATCAAGGACTTGTGCAGCGGAGGGAGAGTCCTGCACCTTACTTAGTTTTCACTTTAATGTAAGCAAACATTTGTTTAACGAGGGGTACGGCAAAAACAAACAGTTCGAATTGCTGTGTCAAAGTAACAGGCGGCGTGCTCCTGCCCCCACCCGGTATTGACACGCCTCGCCCTGCGGCGGACATTTCCGACAGCTGATTTCTGTTGTCGGTGTCGATCTAGTCGCAAAGTAATCAGCAGCTCTCTCAACTACTGTATGTTGCTACAGCGTATTATTTAACAAGGTATAAGAAGACGCCAACTTTCATTCGGACGCCTTAGTCTACATGGTGAGATCAGCAAGAACTGGAAATGAAGAATTATGTAAGTTTGTGATAAATTTTTGTGCATAATTTTACTGGCAAAGATTCCATCTATATTTAGAGTGTCAGCTGTGACTCCAAAATTTCGCTGTTTTCAGCACATTATTAAAGTACTTTTATCAATGTTATTATCACCATCACCACTGAAACTTCACAGCATTCCTAGTAAAATGTTAACGCGTTTCCTCGATTCTTCACTGGATTCTTTAATAAATTATTGTTTCACGGAACCACCCACGGCAGTTAGTCGACTCAAAACTCATCATTCAAGCGACTGTTGGAGTATTAAATGATTACTTCTCTCTTATAAGTCTAAGCAGGTCTACTAATACAACTGCACTGTGAACTAAAAAACCCTATTGCAATTTCAGTAAGTGACAATCACAGCAAATCAATTTTAATGACAGCAGATCTGTCCAAACACATCTCACTGAAATACGACGCATTGTTCCCGGAACGTACTAAAAATTTTATCGCCCATAACAAATCAATATTCATTGGAAGGACCGCAGTGTGAACGCCACTTGTTCTGGTCGCTCCATTAACTAACATTGCTCTCGAATTGTCATAAAACCTCTACCAATTTCCATCACATAATTCCTTGGACACAACGAGAATAAACAGTTTGAAGAGAAACAAAACCCCGACTTAGTTACGATATTGATACATTTATTCTATGCATTCTGATGGCTGAATGCATTCCTTTTCACCACTGACCAATTGTTCCATAAATTCCAAAGTAAATGATGTAAAGTTTAACGATTTGTAGACCTACATTATTATCATTCTGTAAAATACAGAATAAACTGAAATGTTTGATACAGGGATATGTTTCAAACAAATGCGAATATTTGAATGGGCCTTTCGGTATCAAATATACTTATGATGTGAATCTAGCTAGTATAGCCACAATTTTACTAGTTTATTCTGTTTTTGTGTGACACACATTAACAGAAATTCAGGTCTTCGATTATATTAATATTATTTTCAGTTTGTACACCAGCAAATACGAATAGTAGATAAGGGTAAGAAACGGCCAAGTCTAACACAAAAGTGATTTAACAAAAACTGTAGTCAGAAATAACCACTGCAAGAATTACCCACCTAGGCAAAAACGGGGACTGAGTAAGGGCTGGAAGACAGGGACTTGATTGCCAACTGACTTCGCCGGTTCTGTCCGTTTGTAGCATGTATTATAACAACTCTTCAACCGATGAATGGCATTTCATGGAATTTAATATTAGGAACTTTTCTTTTAAGCTGTCAAGTTTCAATTTGTGTCAAAATCTGACAACAATAGCGGACTCTTCACACGAAGATCTACAAGAATTTATGCACTCAGAAGTGCCCTTGGAGAATCAACATACAGATACCTGTCCACGTAACCACGTGGGGAGTCCCGTTATGACGTCATTACCCAGTCAGACCGGCGCTACACGTCCAACCCAGGCAAAGGTGATTTACTTCAGACAACTTTGACATCACTGGCGCCCTTCGGAAAGATAAATGGTCTTGTCTTGACGGAAACATACACCATAATTCGTACTTATGCTACTTACAGACGCGCTTATAACAGTTGTTAATCTACAGCCTATACCAAAACGAATGGTCCGAAACTGTTACGGTGCCCGAATTTATAACTTGTGTTGGGCAAGGCCGTGGTCTAGGCAACACGGAGTTTTCCTCCGTGGCATCCCAACAATTATTCCACTCACACACAGAAGAAGGCAATGGCAAACCACTTCTGGATCATCTGCCAAGAACGTATATGAACAGGTCCCAGTCCGAGAAAAGGATGGAAGGATCCTGTTCATATGGACCTGTCGTCAGACAGAACACTAAATAATAATAATAACTGTATCCAGCTCACACATACACATCCAACAGATACCTGTGGTTAGAGCGGACAGAGGATAAATGTTACGAGTCGTCTCCATGTATTGCCGAGGTTAATAATGCATGCAGTGACGTCTACGCCCCCCTGACATCTTAATATTAATCAAGAGAACAACTTTACCTTTCTATTTATTTCCAGATGCGCCAGGGACCATATTTAAATTGCAGCAAACTCTCCAGAAAAAGCGGTACATATATAGAACATGAATTAAAACGCAATATCGTGAATAGACCTGCAAGTTTACAGTATATGAAGGTGGTATTCAGAAGTGTGGGGAAAAGGATTAAAGACAATGAAAATCGAAACATACGGTTGAACAGAGTTAAGAAAAACTATTTAAGATTAAAAGCTTTTCATATTTTAAAAAAAGCAGGTCTACTAGCTGTTTCTGGCGCAGTATCTACAAGCGCGTAATTCTTTGACTATATTAAGACAGAGACTATGACATGTTAAACGCTGCCACACAAACAAATAGCGATGGACTCTCTGTGTCCATTGTTTTAAAAAGGTAGGCCAAAAGCTGCCACTGCGTTTCTTAAACCACCAAGCCATAAAAGATGTATTAGAAAATTGAGGTTACGCTTCACGCATGATCGACCTACGCATTATATTAAGGTTAGTACAAACCTCATGTTTCGGGGACTTACCAGGGCAAAATCTCGACCTATTCACTGCTATTAACTCACTAGCATATATTATAAAACACATAGTAGAATTAATTAAAAAGGTTTGCCCCATTTTTGTGTCAAAGCACGTGTGCATTGTCTTTGTGGTCATTTGAGCTGATAGAATGGGGGCAAGTCTTATTAGTGTGTCGTGGTCTTCAGCATCTATCACTTCGTTAACTCGATTACACTTCTAGTGTATTCTGGGTCGTATACGTAATGACGTGGCTTTTGTTTTAATCCGTCATGGTTTTAAACACGCAAAATAACAAGATGATATTCAAGTTAGAAAGGGCTATAGTATCCACGTGTTTGTGCTAGTATTCAATAGTTTGTATAAGGGTTATGAATGTTCTGTTACTGTTCAGCTAATGAGAACAAAACGCGCGTAAAGAAAGGAAACAAAGCGTGCTTATGCAAAAAGGACGCCTAAGGGCGCAAGGCTGCTAAGTGTGCTTATGGCCCCATGCAGTGTGCCCAGACAATTGTTCTGAAGAACCCTTTGTGTAAAATAAGCTACTAGCTTAGTATTTAGGCTTATTTTTCTGAAGAAAACAGAAAACACTGCAAGACATTCTTGACGGACTGTGATCATGCCCCATTGTACCGCCTGCCTTAACACTCAATAAAGATTTCATAAGAAAAACATCCGTTCTCGATGTGGCAATTTGTGCAAGGCTGTAGAAGGTTATCAATTTATACACTTCTATTCACTTCGAAAGAACACAATGAGAGCACCCGCATTTTCGACTGATCGTTAAAGAAGAAGTTGACGTCTTACAAAAGAAGACTAATTTAAGAAGAACGTGGACTTACCTGATTTGCTGGTGGCACGCAAAGACTCCGTGATGGTGGCCGAGTGGTAGCCCTTCGACGAACTCAAGCCTAAAACACAAGAACAAAGCCTTAATAAATCCGTCACAAAACATATGAATGATTTCAATGGCAGCTGAAGGCGTGTGTGTGTGTGTGTTTGTAGGTAACTTGAATAAGCGCTGCCGAATGGGATTTAACACAGTTCTATCTTGATACTTGAACCTTATTCTCCACTACAAAGTCGTATAAAAAGTATTTGGTTTGTGGTGATAAGAACAGTTTATAACATTCCTTCCCAATATAGTTTAAACTAACTGTAGGCCTGCTTCCATAATCTCTAAGACGTTGGCAAACCTTCTATCAGACTACAGGACACTACAACACAGAATAAATCTATCTTAAAATGATTTTAATCCTAATCGTAATAAAGTAGCCCATTATATGAGATTGCAGATAGGATTTAACTGTGAACACTGTAATGAACCTTCGGGTTTTATAAATCATTGGATCGACCATCAGCTTCTCAATAAAGAATTATCCAAGAATTTTGGCGTAAATCCAAACAATAACTAAGTATTTGTACTTTTGCCAATGGATAGGCGGTCAAAGCTGTTACATATACAAGCCCTGTGGAGTCTGAGGTTTCTCAAAAAGCTATCAGTGGGCATAACGATTAACCTGAAACTGCGGCACTCATGCTGTATTACGGTGGCCCACTCGCTACGTCATTCTTTTTTTTTTTTTATCTCGGCGGCCATGCACAGTGCAGGATGACGTAACAGAGGGTAACGGGGTTTCCTCTGCACGAATTATATGCCAATATATAACCAGCTCTGTGACACTGAGAATGAATTTACAGCATGGATCCCTGTAATAATGGCTATTCACTCCTCTCATCGCCGAGTTTCTATTTGATTACATCTAGTTGGCACTTCCCGAATTTACGGAGAGAAAAATAAAAAAAGAAACGGTACATAAAACACAAATATCCACTCACTATGTGAAACAATTATAAATTACCCCAAAATGTACAGTTTCATTTGAAAAACATGCAAAAATAAATGTCGTTACTGAACAATGAACTCTAACTTAGGCCTGTATAGCCTACGTACAGACGCATTAAATCAAGGGTGTACAATAAAAAATAGACACATTTATGGCGAGGTGATGTTCTGGGCACCTGAACTTTGCCATATTTTGTCCCACTTACTTGCTTTCACTACTGAAAAACAACACCAAACCGATTCATGAGCATTTTATCGAGTTCCATATTTACTTTTCATAATTTTTGTACATGTCTCCGTAATTTTATTTTCGAAGACGATCCATCCTCTTTTTCTTATTTTAGTTGGAGTGAATGAAAACTTCCATTTTAATCGAGCCGACGAGATTTCAAACGCGTGCAAATATTTTTCAGTGGCTTTACATTCCCACAGACTTGAGAGTTTTCTAGGCTAACAAGACTGCAAAAATGTAATCCGAACACGAAAACACAGTGTTTCCACATGGGTTCTTTGCAAATTTCAATACCCGATCAACATAAAAACAATCATCGCCCTGATGACGGAGGCAGTATGACCTCTGAAACGTTGGTAAACATCGACCATACTACACGGCGCAACAACCCAGAAGACGGAAATCTTCAGACTCAGCGCCCTGATAATGGAGGCAGTATGACCTCTGAAACGTTGGTAAACATCGACCATACTACACGGCGCAACAACCCAGAAGACTTTATAACATTCCTTCCCAATATAGTTTAAACTAACTGTAGGCCTGCTTCCATAATCTCTAAGACGTTGGCAAACCTTCTATCAGACTACAGGACACTACAACACAGAATAAATCTATCTTAAAATGATTTTAATCCTAATCGTAATAAAGTAGCCCATTATATGAGATTGCAGATAGGATTTAACTGTGAACACTGTAATGAACCTTCGGGTTTTATAAATCATTGGATCGACCATCAGCTTCTCAATAAAGAATTATCCAAGAATTTTGGCGTAAATCCAAACAATAACTAAGTATTTGTACTTTTGCCAATGGATAGGCGGTCAAAGCTGTTACATATACAAGCCCTGTGGAGTCTGAGGTTTCTCAAAAAGCTATCAGTGGGCATAACGATTAACCTGAAACTGCGGCACTCATGCTGTATTACGGTGGCCCACTCGCTACGTCATTCTTTTTTTTTTTTTATCTCGGCGGCCATGCACAGTGCAGGATGACGTAACAGAGGGTAACGGGGTTTCCTCTGCACGAATTATATGCCAATATATAACCAGCTCTGTGACACTGAGAATGAATTTACAGCATGGATCCCTGTAATAATGGCTATTCACTCCTCTCATCGCCGAGTTTCTATTTGATTACATCTAGTTGGCACTTCCCGAATTTACGGAGAGAAAAATAAAAAAAGAAACGGTACATAAAACACAAATATCCACTCACTATGTGAAACAATTATAAATTACCCCAAAATGTACAGTTTCATTTGAAAAACATGCAAAAATAAATGTCGTTACTGAACAATGAACTCTAACTTAGGCCTGTATAGCCTACGTACAGACGCATTAAATCAAGGGTGTACAATAAAAAATAGACACATTTATGGCGAGGTGATGTTCTGGGCACCTGAACTTTGCCATATTTTGTCCCACTTACTTGCTTTCACTACTGAAAAACAACACCAAACCGATTCATGAGCATTTTATCGAGTTCCATATTTACTTTTCATAATTTTTGTACATGTCTCCGTAATTTTATTTTCGAAGACGATCCATCCTCTTTTTCTTATTTTAGTTGGAGTGAATGAAAACTTCCATTTTAATCGAGCCGACGAGATTTCAAACGCGTGCAAATATTTTTCAGTGGCTTTACATTCCCACAGACTTGAGAGTTTTCTAGGCTAACAAGACTGCAAAAATGTAATCCGAACACGAAAACACAGTGTTTCCACATGGGTTCTTTGCAAATTTCAATACCCGATCAACATAAAAACAATCATCGCCCTGATGACGGAGGCAGTATGACCTCTGAAACGTTGGTAAACATCGACCATACTACACGGCGCAACAACCCAGAAGACGGAAATCTTCAGACTCAGCGCCCTGATAATGGAGGCAGTATGACCTCTGAAACGTTGGTAAACATCGACCATACTACACGGCGCAACAACCCAGAAGACAGAAATCTTCAATATAAAAAGGGTTCATTCCCGTCAACTTTGACGGGTCATATGTATATATCGCTAATGATGAGTTTGGGTGGAAGGAATCGTGATTCGTGGCAGGTACTGAGGGAAGCTGCCCCAAGTTCAGGACCATTATCGGTCGCCTGCGGTAGGCCTTTTGCCTGGAGCACAGAGTGAAGATCTGGACCTTGCTAGGAGAGTTAATGTTTCCATAGCAACGGGCCGGGAGGGGGGGCCTTATCCACGTGGAGACAGGGGGCCGCTCGTTAGGACTTATCAAACAGCGGCTGTCGCCTGCACAAGACATTCACACATTAACTATTGTGCGGCCATATTGGAATCCATCACACACTGTGATGTGCTCTCCCCTGCTCCCCCAGCATCTCGGTGGAGGAGGAGCACAGAGATACGGCCAGCACATTTCTGAAAGGGGAATGTTTGCGCATATTGGTCTTCGTTTGTTTCATATATGTTGTGTTTAGTTCACAGCTAATGGCCGCCGTGATAGCAGCATGGTTCTTGGTGTAAATCACTATAGAGTAAAGAGATTTGTGTAATGGTCTTCTAACTTGGTAACCTATTTAATGAAAGCACGGAGTAAGAAATAATTTAATCACTGGGATTAAGTACGAACCTTGTTACCATTTAACTATGAAGCCAATCCGTTTGGCTGTCTACCGTTAAACGTACCAGTACAACTATTAAAGTAATGGCAATGATATTCACTTACAAACCAATTTATCCACCTGTTTCGCCTCACCCATCTTATTCTAAGCTGCTGTAGCACAAATGAACGCAAAAGGAAAAGCACACAGCTTAAGTGTGGAGGTAATTTCCTATCATGACTGATACCGACGTGACCGCAGTGAACGTTGGAGCTGGAAGTGATGCCATTTCCACGCAGTAAGCTATAAGATTTTGTTTAGTTAATTTTTCTCAAGAAATAATGACATTACTCTGTACTTCCAGATAGCTCCTACAGATCCTTTATCGATTTGCATGCCATTTAATCTACTAAATTTACACCGGGAGTCTATGATATGGTGTTATAGGCCTCCTACTTACCCGACGAGGAAGAGGAAGACAAATGTCCATGGTTCGAGTTCTTCTCTGCGCGGTTCTGAGAATGGGGCTCTAAACCTGAAACAACGAAACATAAGATCACTCCGTTAACACCACGCCAATTACTGTCGGAGTCACATACAGCTTAAGTAGGTTAAAAGCAAAATATTAATTATAAGAACATTTAATTGCAATCATTGTCATCCGAATACTGATTAGAAATTTTACGGTATTTTATATATTCTTCTTCCTGTGGCTCTACAACCTAGTGCGGGTCTTGACCGCCCCCTTTCGGAGGTTTCTTAGTCTATTTTATACGCTACAAGCTTAATAAACTACTTGACAAGGCTATTTAGTCATTGGTCAGTGTGTCATTTTCAGAGTGTACATTTATTTCCGCATAGACGATGGATACTCTTTCCGTGCTACGAAACAGTATCTCATTTAGAATGACAGACGGCGGTGTTTTAATAATTTACTTGTAATACGAGCAATCTATTTCGAAAATAGAGGCTATATATTTGAATCACTTTACTATTAAATTATATATAAAATAGGGTTGTGATACAATTTAAAATAATCGCTGCCGCAATTGTTCATGCAAATACACTTAGCCACATCGTGAGGTTACGGTATCCGATCTACAGATCCTCCCATCAAGGACTTAGATCAGTGCTTCCCAAACCTGGGTAAATTACCCAAAAATGGGTAAAAGTGGTTTTTCTTTGGGTAACGACACACCCATTTCTGTGTGACTTGACTAAAACCCCCGATAGTGTTAATGGTTTTGCAGAGCAAATGATGGAGCTTAGGTCTTTCAGGTTAACAATTCACGATGAATATCCTGTTGTAGCTGGGGAGGCCGTGATGCAATTATTGCAGTTTCCGAGCACCTGCATGTGTGAAGTGGGATTTTCCACTCTTGTCTTCATAAAGAGCACGAAATGAAACTGTTTGCTGAACCCCGAATATGATGAGAGGTGTGCTCTGTCTCCAATTGCTCCAAATTTTACGGAACTAGTAAATAATATGGAGCAGTGGCATTACACTCATTAGCTGGGACCTGGGTGATAAAATATTCATGGTGAATAATTACCAAATTGTTTGTGGCTGCTAAAATGTTTAGAGATGTTTAAAATATGTTTTCTGTGCAGTTTGTGCTTTACCTACTTTGGGTCAAAAGGACGTTCTGATGAGCGGTTTTGGGTAATGAAGGAAAAAGTTTGGGAAGCAGTGACTTAGATCATTATGAGCAGCCGAAACACCAGGACCAAGGCTCGAACGGCGTACCCTGTATAGAAAATATACTTGGTGTGCCGAACGTGAGTAAGAAAAGCAGAAGAAAACAGAGATAACGGTAATATAAATCAAATTTCAACAAAAGAGAAAATCCTCATTTCCCGTCTCCCAAACGCATCATTTTCCTGCTGCAGGTCTTATCACTTCCCTGCCTGCTGTCGGCTAGACGCTGCAGGACAGTGTGTTCCGCAATGCGCGCAGGTTGAGGGAACGTGGAAGTGTTTACTCACCCAGTACAGAACCGTTTCACCACGTCTGAACTGACGAATGTGTCAGGAAAAACGGCACACATTTTGAAAACGTTTAAATGAGCGCCCAACTAAAAGTATGTTGCTACAGAAAGCCTATACTACCTGCTTCTTTTTTCAACAACTATGAAAGTTACAGACTGAATGCAAGCCTATTTGTGTATCGTCCGGTTATCAAAAAAGACAGCTGTAATCTATTCCCCTAAATATTTGTAAACGAGATGAGGTGTGTTTCATGTGAGGTTCAAACACAATATTATTAAACGTAATGAATAATACCCTGGAAATGACATGAACATCAACATTCAATTCCAAACACATTTAAACAAATAACATGTCATAACCACAATCAACTGTTCAGGGTATAAACAATTTAGGAAATGTACGTGTGCGAGATTACATTCCGCGCTGTCTTACTCGTCAATATGGCGATGTTGCAGTGGACTAGAGTTGTTCGTCCCAAACTCATGAGTTCGCACAACCGCCATGTTTGTTTCGGTGATAGGAATTTTCGTTTTTCAAGATGATATTTAAATAAGCCTTCTTTGTTTCGAATATTTCCGTGCTAACGTGTAATACTCTCTGTTAAAAACGCACGTGTACTTAGCGCTAGCTTTAACTGCTGAAACATGGCCATACACATTTCCTGCCCTTATCTTCTCAGACGACAAATAAGCAGTAAATACAGATCAGAAATGCTAGTCGTTCTGAACTACACTATTTCGTGCGGGGAGCGGGAAGTGTTAATATGGTTCCGACAAAGGGAAGAACTTTGGAACCTCAAAAGTTATAATACATTTAAATCATTAGGCCGTTGTTGAAATCAAATTCCGCAATTCGACTAAACGTTTGTCTGATTTTACAGAAAGTAAAAAATAAATAAATAAAATAATTGGAACGGAATTGTGTGAATCTTTATCTGATGGGGCTTGTGGAGTCTTATCGCTTTTATGACATCTTCAGCATGTTGTATTTCAGTTTCATATTATACGTCTAGGGGAGACAAAGTTAGGAAGCAAATGGGCAGGTTTTGAAATTCCGAGTTCCGAGAAGGGGGGACACATTACTGACTTGGCGTTTCCTTCGCCCGGACCGTGCGGGAAGTCACACTTT